ACCACTGGGCCAGAAAAGCTGAAACTTATTTGAAAGCATCTTGGGGTAGTGTAGATTCTAAATTGTTCAAATCATGACCCCCGGGGGTAGGGTGGGGCCACAATAGGGAATCCAAGTTTTACATTGAAATATGTAGTAAAAATCTTCTTCTCAAGAACCACTGGGCCAGAAAAGCTGAAACATTCTTGGGTAGTGTAGATTCTAAATTGTTCAAATCATGACCCTCGGGGGTGGGGGGGACAACAATAAGTACTACGAGGGAGGGGGGAGAGAGAGAAATCAGGTGAAAAACAGCAAGGCCAAAGTTACTCAGGTGAGCGCTGTGGCCCATGGGCCTCTTGTTTTTCCCATCCAGTATTTGCATGGTCACCTAATTTCCTACCTACCCAGACCACTGTTATTATTGAGTAAGAAACATTTAGTCTCCAGTTTTTGAGTTTTCTTTATTGCTTTCATTATAATTCACCTTTTTAATATAAAAGAGATTTAAAAAAATTGAAAATAAGGAATTTATGATTAATTCATTTGTGCTTTCTTAAACATAAGTGGTTCTAAAATCACTGAAAAACTAATGAATATAATTGGCATAGGCTTATGCAATTTAGAAAAATAATAACATTTTTAATTTTTCCTATAATTTGAAAGTTTACCTTGTTACTCATAATTATTCAATGAAAAATGTGCTCTGCATAATTGCATCAGTCAAATTTGACAGTTGTATCACACTTGTGTAAACTTTCTGAGTTGTTTTGTTTGAGGTTTACATAAGACAATGTTGGTTGTTTAGGATCTGTAAGTTGTGTATAATTATCCATAGAACAGTTCAAATACCAGTGTAATATCTACACAAACAAATATTAACTTGATAAAACGCTCAATAGCAATGATTGTGTTCTTCAAAGTCCCTATATAAATATCTTCACTTATTACTAATAAGATTACAAACCATACAATCTTAGCGTCACCTAAAAGTAGTTGACAAAACGTTCCTCTGTATTGAGAAGTTAAATACAGCCTGTGCTATAGAAAACTTGGTCTTTTATACACAGTTAATAGCTTTCCTTTCTCCTAGTCGGCTGAATGTTTAAACGGAGGCTCGGCTAGCACAAGGAGGCAGCCATATTGGATTTTGTGCTTGACATCCACTTGGTATGTGTTTTGGGTTGTAGTAGATTGTTTCAAGGCATTTAAATGTGCAATTCATGTTGCAAATGTAAGTATTAATGAGCTTCTTTGAATTTGATGCAAAATTTTTACAATTTCCAAAGAATGATCATGAGACAGAGGGAAGAAGCATTTGAAGTTTGAAATCCACAATGAGGCCATAATAAACAAGGAGCAGACGAACACTGCATCAGTGTAGTACAGTCCACAGTTATGTTAAAACTTTTCTTACTGAGACCTGTGTTTAAGTCATACGTCATTCTTTGGCCAGGAGCAGACAATGTAACACAATATGATCAGAGGAAAGGGAATTTGACAGATCCATTAAATGTTTTATTGCATGTTTAAAGGTTCAGCCTTATCAGGTATGAAGAAGGAGCACAGTTAAAGGGCTGGTAGTGTTATAGGAGCGTCCGGGTTTATGCTTTTCCTGGTTAAATCAAATTATTTTTAATATGCATGTTAATATAGAACTTTGTTTTGATTATGTATGTATAAAGAGATTTAATTTGATATGATTTTTTCTTTAGGTTGTAATTTTTTCGAAAGACTGGACTATTTTTTAGAAGGGAATTCTTTCAGCAGTTTTTTTTTTCTTTTTGAAAAAAATATTCCCATGGCATATGCAATAAATGAAATCATATATCACATGTTTAAGGTTTGCCTTATGATCAACTTCATAAATTTGATGAAGATAATAGGCTGTTGTACATATACATAACAACTTCATTAGTAATACACACAACTTTTGGTCTGTACTGTGTACAATCAGTTATGTGGACCTTATATGTCATAGAGGTGATATTTATGTCAGAGTTTATTTATATTTTGCTTCATTTGGTGACATTTTATTGCCAGTGAATAATTCATTCCAAATCCTAAACATTCATTTTTTGAATTCTTTTGCTTTGAATAGTCACAGCATGGGTAGGATACATGGGTACGAAATATTTTCTGAAATATATCACAAAAGTCCACACTAAACCAGATGCAGATTTTGAGCTGTGAAAAAAAAATATTCACTCCAATTATCTTCTATTCAAAAACTGTTCAATAATTAAATTATTTACATCAGCAATTATTCTTTGCAAGTGCATATTAGGGAATAAGGAAACTTGTACCAAGCTGAACTAAGAGTGCCCTGACACGTATGGCACATTTATTTTGTCTGAGGAAAATGCATCTGCTGCCCCAAAATTTATTGTGAGTTAACCATAGCTTTCATTAAACTTGAAATCATGTGTGGTTGGTTATGAAAAATTTTACATGTTTCTGTGTTTACGTATTTGTGGCATAGAATTGGAAATTTTTAAAAGTTTGAACAGTTAGTTGGTGAAGAGCCTGTGTAAAGTTCATAAGATCCCCCGCGGTTTGAGTTCTGACCTGGATCACAGCATTGATGCTGTCTTACATTTGATGTAGGAGATTTTTTATGTATTGGACAGGAAAGTATTTCTTGAGTTATGGAGACATTTGATTTAAGGAAAGATGTTCAGATGGTTTAGATTACCTAGAATTGGAACCTTGATTTCAGTGTTGGGCTAGTGGGCTGAATTTCATTCCTTTTCAGAATTGGTTAATATTAAAGAATTATGACAGTTTATGTATATACATTCATTTGTGTTTCAATTTGTCAGTCAAAATACAGTACATATAAATCTGACATATGTATGTGTATAGGCATTGACTGACTTGACATGCTCAACTTGATGTCTCCCAACTTATACTGGTTCTTTTTTTTGAAAACACTCTGTTTCATAACAATAGAAGGATATATGGGATATTGTTCAATTTTATCCCGGCTTGTTATACCTTTGACTATGTTTTTAACAGTTGTCTGCCCTTGATTGAGAATTTTGTGGCTCTCTCTCTTTGTTAGTTATGGTCCGTTGCAGTGGTAGCTTACCAATTAAATGCTGATAAATAGGTGAAATGGTAGCAATTTGTCGGCTCATTAAAGTCAGCAGTGTAGCCCTAGTGATTAAGACAGAATGCTACTCTGTGTCTGTAGACATTTAAGATTTTTTCCCTCACCCAGCCAGGGAATTCCTTCTTTTAGCTGGCTGATGATGGGTAGATCTTTATCTCTGGGTGACTCTGCTAACATGCCCTCACACACTTACCTATAACTAGTTTGCTTTGGTAACCCATTTATAAATGTACATAGAGTAGCAAAAAGTGTGCAATTTGAACATTCTTAAATTCTCTCAAAACTCCTGATCTCTTGAACGTTCTTCTATGAGGCAAAATTTGCTATATTTTACCCTTGAAAACTTCAAGACTTATCTTGTAGGTATCCCTTGTTCACTTGAATTTTCATCTTTGATGATAGAAATTGTAAGGAAATTAGATAATGCTTCCCCATGTATATACTGCTGTTTTATCAAACCCTTTCCCACAAGAGTATTTTTCACTTGTAAACTGTCAAATTTCAATAAGGCAGGATGCACTCTCTAAATTTTATTAGTATAAGAGATCCAAATTCATGATGAAAATTTTCCCTTCTATATTATATCTTTCTATTGTTTTTGTTTTTGTTTTTTTTTTGGTCATCATGCATTTATAGTTACGCTATTTTGAGAGAATAGAACATTGTACGATTTATTACTTTGTCGCACTGATAATTTGTTCAACTATGTAAGTCAAACTTCACCAGAGTAAACCAGACAGACTGGACAAATTTCATAGAAGTCCAGAATTATTTCTATGAAAGTGGTTTTTCAACTTTTAAATTAAACATGAAAAACTGTAAATTTATAGGGTTTGATTGTTTAGTCGTTGTGCTAGTTTGTTTGTTTGTTTGTTATTTCTGGATTTCATTTGCTTTTATGACTTTCTAACCAAAACTAAAAGGCTCTGAATTTTTAGAATTTGTACATATATATATAATGAGATCATAATTTTAATGACACCAAGCATGGAAATTTAAATGTCGTATATGCAATGAAAATTTCATTTATTTCGATTTCACTTCAAGATTAAATTTAAGATTTTTAGATCTCCTTCTTTTCACAAATAAATTGGATAAAAAGGATGAGTAAAAATGGCCTTTTGCTTCACTGGTTTTATTGATTGCTAATGTCATAAAATCTATATAAGCTATAATAAAAGTATCATAAAATAATGGGGCCAAGTTATTTTGTGTAAGGAAACATTTCCTATTTTAACTGCTTGTATACAGATTGTTATTAATATAATAATTTTAGAGTCCTGGCAGACATAATCAGATAAAAGCCAATATAGGACCACACATACATGTATTTGTGATGTTCGAATCCATATTTATATATGGAAGAGATTTATACCAGTATGGTTTGTGTTTACGATTTGCGTGCAGTTAAATGTTTGTCCTTTAGCAGGTGTTAAGAGCATCAACATGAATATTCTGGACAAATGCACATATAAATCAGATAAAAGCTATATAAATTATATGTGGTTGTCCATTTGTGATTGTAACAGGTGTCTGTATGGCTATACAGCAGAGAAGAGGTGTCACATTATTATCATTTATCAGCTTGTGGTTCCTATTTTATTACATACAGGGAACCTCTCCAACGGTTGATCTGTGTTAACAAAAAAAATGTGCTCATCTTTTTTTGTCTGCCTTGGAACTGTAAAGCATGAAGTTTATCCCCCTTAATCTTTATTAGAGTTTGGGGTTCCTGTTTTATGGGATTTGATTAAGATTTACAAGTGTGGTGTTAAAAAAAAGGTATTAATTGCTTACAACTTATCGAGTCTACTTGGAGTTGTTGACAAAGAGTGTCAAGACTTGATGATTTTCAGCCAAAGTTGTGATACTGCAGACATTTAAAATTTGCTGAATCTGTTTTCAGGGAGAACTGATTGAGTATTACTACTTCTGGAAGAAAACGCCAGCAGCTGCCAGCAATCGGCCTCACAGACGACACAGACGCCCACCTTATAAGAGAAACACTAGATCCACCCGACCGCCATCAAGTGGTGGTGAGTACTATAAAAATACTAGATCCATCCTACCGCCATCAAGTGATGGTGAGTACTATAAAACACTAGATCCACCCGACCGCCATCAAGTGGTGGTGAGTACTATAAAACACTAGATAAGTGGTAGTGTATACTATAAAAACACTAGATCCACCCAGGTGTCAACAAGTGGTGGTGAGTACTATAAATACACTAGATCCACCTGACCGCCATCAAGTGGTGGTGAGTAATATAAAAACACTAGATCTACCCGACCACCATCAAGTGGTAGTGTGTACTATAAAAACACTAGATCCACCCGACCGCCATCAAGTGGTCAGGTGAGTACTATAAAAACACTAGGTTTGGAAGTAAGTGCTTGATACACTAAATGTCACTAGATCAAGAAGAAATTTATCTGACAGGTTTGACATATAAAAAAGTGATATCAAATTGAGATGGGTATGTTACACTAAAGAATCATGGATAAAGATTATAAAGCGCATATAAAAACTTCACCACACATGGGAGGAAACTATACCATGTGTCAATAGATCCCCCTAGAATTTTTTTTACAGAGGTGATAACTATTCTAGATATCTATCATTAAAGATATACAACATGATTGTAACACTAAGTAATCAGTGGAACTGAGAACAAAATTCTACATACAAGATAGAACAAGTGGGGAAAAAAGTGCAATCCTGGAAATTGTCACTCTAAGGTCCATTGTTTTGCCAAGAGAGTGGTGGAACAACACTACATTGTAGTTATTCATTACAGAATACTAATACTTAATATCATTGATTTAGATTACTTAATGAAAATAGTGGGTATACAAAATACAGTAATACCAAATCAGATAGAGCAACAGGAAATTGTACCAAGTGAAATATCACTAATTACAGTTGTTCACTAATCACAGCCTCTTAATCAAGAAGAATGAATGTTTTTATGAACAGTTACACATAGATTCCATATCAAAAAAAAAAACAATGGACACACACATTCTTTCTTCTGTTCATATTCAGAAAATTTTAGGAACCAAGTTAGATTAGGTCTTGAGTGTAAATTAGTGATGATATAGGAACAATTTCAATAAGGTATGATTTCATTGTACATGGATCTAACTTTTTTGTGGGTGGAGGCTGAAAAGAATATCTTGTGCAATGGAAAACCATCAATCCTTCAAAAAAGAAAGAAAGAAAAGAAACTATATTATTGAAGATCATTCAGAAGGTTGTCATCAGTGTGATACCAGTAGGATTACAACTTAGAAGGCCTAGCTTAGAATAAAAGGAAGATCTTCTATAAAACGAGAGGGAAATACTTGATGATAGAATCTTGTTTAAGGAGTGACATGAACAGGATGATGGCGTAGTACTTGTTTAAAGTTTTTATTGAAGTAAGTTATACATAAACCATACATTTCTGATCTTAGATTACATTCAAAAGGGCTATATAAGGATAACTTTGTAACTACACCTTCTCCTTAGAGAAGGAAGAATAAAAATTAGAAAATACCACACATGAAGAGGGCTCTTAAATGTTACAAGAAGTCGCAGTACTGTACTGTGCATGTTTGAAGATGTAATACAAAATCCTCGTTAATGTGTTTTTCATCCCACCGCGAGACCTGCAAGGAATGTGTTCGTGTTTTTACAATGAAATATGTCAACAGATGTGGTTGGAGTTTTTAAAAAAAAATATTATCATGCAGCTGTTTGACATTGGATCTAACACTACAGTAAAGCTAGGAATTATGGGTAAAGTTTCCAATTGTTGCAATGGCCTTTTGGGTAAGAACTCCCAGTAAAATTTGTGGTGCCAGCATGAGCATAAATGATAGACAAAATCACGAAAGGTTCTAGTGATACAGAAACTCTAACTGCTAACATGGAAAAAATTTGTGCTACAGGACAATGGGAGCATAAATGTCTTGCAAAAGCGCAAAAAGGTTTTTGTGAGACAGAAATTTTAACTGCTAACAGAAAGATTGCTTTGTAATCAAGGTATCCAATTTCTTTTATTGTGTACTTATATGGTTATAAATCTTTACAAGTGTGGTGTGGAATGATATTCTGGGGGATCGGGTATCAAACTGACAAGGAGGTGGCTGCTTATGTTGTTAATGATCACAAAACTTGCCAGTTCTTAAAACCCCAACAAAATAACAAGTTCTTGACAAGGGGATGAGTTTGCTATTTAACATAATCTCAAGGCAAGCTACATTATCATATTTCTAATTTCATTTTCAGAATGTCCTTTCTTATTTATGAATCTTCTGTTGATAACAGCTTTAGTTGAAACATGAAGTAGGCAGTTCTTGCTGAAATAATTAAAAATTTGTTTTCTGCTTTGTGTTGAAAGTTTTTGTTCTGTGTGAAATGTGCATCAAAGTTGGGCGAGTTATGTGGCAATTCATTATGCTATTGATTTGTTGGCATATCTCGTAACAGTTTCCTCAAAGCCGTAGCTACATTTATTAAGCAATACCACAGCAATAAGACACAACACCTAATGCATCATAATTATCATTATATCTTTTCTGATGTGTGATGTAAAAAGCCCAATCTTCAGAGAAACTGCCGTTTTTGATGCCTTTCCTTCTGCTAAGGCCTTTGGTAAATTGGCGCAAAGGGTAATTTCTGATATTCCAGTAAATGCTATATTGATCAAAGGATACTTTATAATTTGTTGTAAGTGTATTGTTTTAATAATTTATATATCTGGCGTACATAAGGGAATGAAATTGCCAGCATCTATCACGTATCAAAATGCCTATTCCACGCTTCTAAGGAAAATCTGCTATCACCGAAACCCATAGAGATCTCACAGGGTAACTGTTAAAAGAACAGCTGTATTGTTCTGTTCATACACTTAGGAGGCAGACAAGCTGTATAAAAAATATTCTTTTTGATATGGTCTATATGTATTCTGTGTAAAGCTGATTTAAAAAATATACAAGTAAAATTAATTCACTTTTGAGTAATGAAGTAGCTTGATGAACATTTTTTTTTTTGATGTGTTTTGTAGTTGAGCAGAGTTCAGCTAGTGAGTGTTCGGATGATTCAGATGACAGTGGTGGAAGTAGAGACCTTAACAGATACACATGTAGACATTGTTTAACCACAGGTAAGATCATTGATTGTACCTATGCACATGTCTTAAAAGCACTTTTTCACTTGCTAATCTTAGTACATGTAGATGCAAATTTGAGACTTAGGAAAAGTTCACAAGATCAATTACTTGCAAAAGATGGAATGATGAGGAATTGTAAAACTATGCCTATTCATGATGACATGACCAGTTGTCACATGATAAGACTTCATTGGGTTGTAACAGGTGCACAATATCATTACGACATTGAATTACCGTCTTTGTACAGCATGCACACTGATCTTTGTTCTCTAAGGAGAGATATTAAACAAGACATTTTGTAAGGTCAAACCAGAAATGTTTTTCCAACAGCAGGGAAACCTCTCCTTCGTTAGGCAGGTGTATTTTAGTGACCTGTGGTCTCATGTTGAGGTGCAGCCTTTTTATGACTAAAAGAAATTATCGTAACCGTCAACACCTACATAAGACAAAAATATTGACAAGAGAATTGAGACTTTTCATGTCAAGACCAGCATTTTATCATACTTAAGTAAATGTCAGAAATTGACCCTGTATGTTAGAACAGGTGTGCAGGGTCTGTAATTAGAAATAAGATCAATAGAGAAACTCCAGGTATGCAACAAAGGGGGGATTTAGCCTCTGCAGTTTTGGTTGACCTCTGGGGTTTGCATTCTCCAGTAAGATGAGAGATGACTATGAAGTCAAAGGTCAAATTCAGACACAATGGCAGGTAGCCACCGAGAAGTGTTAAACATACAGAAGTTTCACGGTGGTTGGTAGTTTACATTACACGGATTTATAATGATTTTTCACATCCTGGACAGTGGTATACACCAGAGGACCTCCAATTCTCTGTATGTAATTGTCATTTTCCCTCAGTGGGGATGTAAACATGACAGCTAAGAACTATTTACACCCCACTTCTGAATGGTTAGAGTGCATGCTGGGATCCTGTTATTTTTACACTTAATCTGTCAGTTGTCAGCAAACTCGCTGAGGTGAAACTGATTGAAGCTTTGCGGCACCTCAAGCGAGGAGTAACTGATTACACACATGAAGGAAATTGATAACCGACAGTTTTTACTAGAAATTTAAACTCTTAACTTGGTATTAATGATTTTGAGCAGACTGATAGCATGGGTTTAGATAGTGAACAGATCAAATGAAATAGTCTTTATTGCACAGAAATTACCATCACAAAAGTATCTTGTGATGTTGTGTGCGATGTTTTATGTGATCTGCGAGGTGCGAGATCTATAAAGAGCCTGTGTAGCAGAGATGGAGTTATTAAAGACAGTTGATGTCGACTTTTATTTCTGCGGCTACTTTCCCCATGTGTGTGGTAGACTGTTGCAAGGCTATATGCACATTAATGTAGGGATATCAATTATTGTGGATTCTGCGAGTTTGAAGGTATATAACAGCCATAATAATACCCTGGATCAGCTATCAATTTTCATGATGGTTTGACTTCAGACGTGTGTAAATAATACATCATCTTTTTCATTTGAACAGAAATGATCTTTAAGAGCTTCTCCTGCAATAGAATTGTGTTTTTGGCGAGAAATCTTTTGATGCTTATGTCAAGATTGATCGATACATATTTGTTTTTTGGAGCAGGATGAAATGTGACTTCACACAGTCTCCAGGAGATTCATTATATAGTTATTTCTTTTTTTCTAGATTCCAAAGACTGGCACCATGCGGGTAAAGACAAAAGTCTTCGCTGCACACAGTGTCGCCTGTACTACAAGCGACATGGAGAAGAGCGCCCCCTAGAAAGCCCTGAAGATCCCCCCTTCCTCTTTAAGCCAGTTAAAGAGGAAGCTGATGTGCTGGGAGGTCGCCACAATATGCGAACAAGGCAATCAAGGGAAACAGTAAGAAAGATATGCAAAGATACTACAAAAATTTAATCAATTGAAGGAACAAAAAACATGTTAGACTATATCGACTATATTCAAAAAGGGATTGAATCTGAGCTTTTATTAAAGAAAGGATGGCATCTTAAATTTATTCTTGTTTAATCTTTGCCACCAGCTTAATATCCTGTTACCATCTTCCATAAATAAAAGAACCTATAGTCAATTCCAAACAAATAATGAAAGGTATGTTAAAAGTGACTAAGAATTAAATTTAATTTCCAGGGTAAAGGAAATAAAAAGAAAGAAAGCAACGGTGTAGACCCAGAAGATAACCAGAAGACAGTGAATCCTAAATCTCCCAGCAGTAACAGCAGCTGTAGTACCAGCAGCTCAGACAAGGACATAAAGAGAGATAGTAAGGTTAGTGTTCAGTAGTTAGAGGGGAGGGTAAAACAGTGAATCCCAAATCTCCCAGTAGTAACAGTAGCTGTAGTACCAGCAGCTCAGACAAGGACATAAAGAGAGATAGTAAGGTTAGTGTTCAGTAGTTAGAGGGGAGGGTAAAACAGTGAATCCCAAATCTCCCAGCAGTACCAACAGCTCAGACAAGGACGTAAAGAGAGATAGCAAGGTAAGTGTTCAGTAGTTAGAGGGGAGGGTAAAACAGTGAATCCCAAATCTCCCAGCAGTACCAACAGCTCAGACAAGGACATAAAGAGAGATAGCAAGGTTAGTGTCTAGTAGTTAGAGGGGAGGGTAAAACTGAATCCTAAATCTCCCAGTAGTAACAGTAGCTGTAGTACCAGCAGCTCAGACAAAGACATAAAGATAGATAGCAAGAAAACTTTAAGATATCCAAGGATTTGAGATACTGAAATTAAAATACATATAGAAAAAAATAGTTGGGACTTCAAATCATTTGGCATATCCATGGTATTTGAGATTTTGGTGTTCAAGATACCAGAGTTCAGCTTTATTTGTTTTTTAGCCATCATTTTGTTACAATTAACATTTTTGGCACTTTACAATGTTCAACATTAATTTATACAAGAGTTCATTATAACTGTGATGTCAGTTATTATCTTACTTTAATCTGTAAATGACTTCTTCATTAATCCCAGAACACCAAAATCTTAAGGAAATGTATATAATTCCAGAAATACCATGTTCTCAGAATATGTTGTATTACATAATGTGATAGACTCTGAACACAGACCACACACTTAAGATGCTGGTATCCAGTTGTTCAAAAGTACATTAACATCTTTTTCATTCCACTTGGTAATTTATGAGTGGCTTTATTATGTACATGTATTTATATTATGTTCTCATATATAATCCTTCTAAGTGTTTTAAATACATATTCTAAGGTTTTTCACCCTTTTACAGAAAGAAGAACCTAAGGCTAAAGGAAAGAAAAGACAGGCCAACTCTGACAGTGACGATAAGTCTACTAAAAAGAAGAGGGCAGAGGACCGATCAGACTCGGACTCTATCTCAGACAGTAGCAGTAGTCTGGAGGATCTTAGTAACGAAGGGGATGCTGACAACAATCAGGTAGGGGGCACCTGTTTATTGAGCTGGGGGAGGGAAAGAGCACCTGCCTAGATAGGAATGTGTCACATTGACATGAATATATCATGTTCTGGTTCCAGTTTGTTATTAAACAGTAATAGCATAAGGCATGTATATGGCAATTATTTCCATGATACCAGTGTAATGTATTTTAAGTGCCTAATGAATTATATATATAGGCATTGGTACACAGGGGAATATTTATGTGCAAGATTTCTTGTGTAGTTGGCATAAATTTAACACATACCACACATAATATTCTATACTTACTTAATACAAAGAAAGATTTGGTTTGTTGCTCCAGATTGTTTTGTTATTGGTAGTAAATGTACACATTTAAAGAGTCTAATGGGAAATTCAAAAGAATAGTTATAGAAGTGGTTGCATCACAGATTAAATTATATCAATGCCCTGATTATATTCCTCAAAACCTTCAGAAGTAATTTCTTTACAAATTCATCAAATCTGTTATGTTTCAGGATGATTTGAGCTCATCTCCACCCAGTACACCCAGATCTGTGGACAACACTGAAGTGAAAACCAGTCTGTCCTCCAAGTCTACATCTAGCAGTTATAATGACACTTCACAAGCTAGAGCCATTGTCCATCCTGAACCTGTGATTCCTTCCTCATCTAGTCCCAAACCCCCATCCCCCAAACCTTTAACCTCCACCCCTCCTATCACACAGCACCTTACCAAAACCAAGACACCACTGTCCCTCCCTTTAAAACCATTCTGTTCTCATCCAGATCCCATCCATGTGACTTCAAACTCTTTCTCTCACTCAGTATTTACTTCAGTGAATTCCTTATCATCCTCTGACAGTACAGCCTCACTTTCAACAGCCACATCAGTGACATCATCATCATCTGCCATTCGTCCTGAACCAGCCCTGCATTCACCAAAAGTTGGCAATCAAAAGCAGGAGTCAACCAATCAACCAGGCCTACACAAACCAGTGTTTGTGGCCACTCAGGAGCCAAGCACTTCATTGTCTGTCCCAGATCTAAAATTCTCTTCAAACTCTAGCTTTGCTCCTGTATCAAGGTCACCTTACTTGGAGCAGCAGACAACCCTGGCCTCTACTTCAGTGACCCCAGTGTATCAAAATGCTATAAGCTCCTCAGGTATGAGAGACTTGAACACAATCAAGAAAGAAAGGGTGACACCACCTCCACTGGAAAGCTTTACAAGCACAGGTTTCAAACCAAGAGACTTTATTGAGTCAGACAATCGCAAAAAAGCAGAAAACATTAACTTTGATCTCAGTCATGTGAAATCTGAACCAACCTTGGACTTATCTATAGGATCAAAACAGTTTCCCTCCTTATTGGAGTCATCTGGGATTGACAAACCACCAACAGACAGGAGGGGCACTGAGGAGGGTGGGACAAGTCAGACAGAGGTGAAATCTGAGAAGTCTCAAGAGATTGACATGGATGATGGTGACAGTGACAGAGAAGGGGGTGTGGTCACAAGAGACCCCACCCCAGAACCTCCCCCTGTACAGTGTAATGTGGAAGTACATACAGGCAGCAAGGACACAAAGTATCGGTAAATTCATCAACTTTAGTACAGAAGAGCATTTACTCAGGCAATATTGAATATTAATTGAATTTCTGCAGTATGAGATAATCAAAATTTAAAAACAAAAAACAAAAAAACCCCAGAACTTTAGTGTTACTGTAAAGTTCGTTATAATTTATTGTTAATTTTGTTTTCTTCAGCTTAATAAAAGTGTTGGACAGAGGTTCCAACATCTGTTCCCGGTGTGATATTGTATTGAAGGCTCTGTCAGATTCCAAACTGGCTCAGAAACAGAAAAGTAGTGGATCAGTGTCTTCAAACCCACCCCAGCAGACACCAGTCAAGCCAGAGGAAAAGGTACCAGTTTACTGTGGTTGTGTTATATTCAATATTTATGCCATTTCACAAACAGATCAGATTTCTTAGAAAATTTTGTGTAGCTTATTTTGTTACAAGAATTCAAGTCTGTACTTTGTGAATTTTTGTAAGTCTTCATTAGAAATATTTTGTCTTGCAGAAGAAGCTTGAGACCCCACCCCCTAATTCCACAGCAGATGCCCAGATTACAAGTAGTCTGATCAGCACACCACATCACTTTGATAGACAGACCCCCAGGTCATATCCTCCAGACACACCAGCCCTGAGGCAGCTCAGTGAATATGCCAAGAAACCAACAATAAGTATGGGTAGGTAGAGAAAAAGCACAAATTAGTCAATTGAATCCATTTATTTTCCTGAGTAAGGTTTTGTAACAGAAGTAAAATAATTTTGAATGGTTCTGATAACATATCATGTTTAATTTTATTTTTAACCAATGATAGGGGGTGAACCATCTATGTCCCATCCAAGTGGGCCCTATGGACCCTATCACCCAGGGATGGACCCCCTCCTGAATTACAGGATGGGAATGTATCCCCCTGGATCCAGAGAAAGGTAATGATTGAATATGCAATAGCTGTAAAAATGATCTTACTTGTGAGAACTCAAGGCAATATTACTAGAACACCTTTTCTATTTTCACAACATGAATTATGTTCTTTACAGGCTGGAGCTGGAGCTTGAGAGGGACAAACGTGAGAGAGATGCCAGGGAGAGAGAAATTCGGGAACGAGAGATTCGAGAAATGGAGATGAGGGAGAAAATGAAGCAGGATTTGGAAATGAAGCCACCGGGTAAGTTGATGTAGATGAATGGAAATCTAGCTCTTGCACTTATTAAGTGCTGCCTATATGTATATCTTATTGCAACTCCATATTACGGCTATATTCCTAATGCTTTTCTCCCACTGAAGGAATTTAAACCAGAAATAATATTATTAATCTGAAGAAAGAAAAATTTAAAAAATCATTTACCAAGGTAACTGTTTACAGGATTGGAGCGTTTACTGCCACCCCATGGACCAAGTCCAATGGATCCCCAGTGGTTAGAATTCCAGAGGAGGTACGGTAGTTTTCCCCCAGCAGCCTTGGGACACCCTGGTGGTCCTTCTGGTTCACATATACCAGGGGTCTACCCTCCAAATAGCATCGCCAGTGACCTGATGCAGAGGGAGAGAGAGCGGCTAGAGAGACTGGGTAATGAATCATGGTTTATTAAACATGATATTGAAAATTTTGATGAAGTAAGCATAAAATTCATGTGAATATATATCGGTACTGTACACGTACTTTTTTTCCAGGGGGGTCATAATTACGCGGAATCACAATTTCTGTTCAATCCTTGGGTAGAAAATTACATGTATTTCTAAAATGCCTCTATATGCCTTAAATGTACATGTACTTCGAGTACGATTGGCCATGGATCTTGTATAGCGTATATTAATTCCACGTGGAAAAAAAGTACTTCTATAGTATTTTAATTTAAAAATCAATGGACAGTTTTATTGAATTTTCTTAATGTTTGTTTGAAAACATTGTATCTTGTTACGATAGTGGTTTGAATGATTTGAACATTTCAGGGCAGAGAATCGTTAAAGACTTTAATCTCAGATTTTCTGAACATCTGTTGTTATGTTATCACTGTGTTAAATTTAGGAGTACCCCCAGGTGCCCATTTTCCATCTGAACTTTTCCACCATGGACCTGCGGCTGTGGCAGAGAGGTTATCTGCCGAGCGTCTCCATGCGGAGCGAATGGCTCTTTCAGCTGACCCATTGGTCAGATTACAAATGGCTAGTCTAGGAATTCCTACTCCACCTGTTGGGGTGGGGCCATCTGGGACCCACTCTCATACACACTCCCACTCCCACACCCATCTACACCTACATCCAGGGGAGAACAACGCTGGAGGTCCACCTCCACCCCCATCACCTTTCCACCCCATAGGGGGACCCCCTCATTCCCTTCTGACACCATTTGGCCCAGGTAAGAATACTGATGGATTCATTTCTATTGATGTAAAACCATTTCCATTGCAGATATTCTGCGTAGTGATCAAATGACTGGAAGAATGATATACCAAATTTGTACACAACGTCTTACTAATGAACAAATCTACATGCAGAGGGTAACTAATGAATGTATCCTCCGCTCCAAACATGAATGGGGGGCAGGCGGAGTTATCGACCCTGCTGCCTCACAATTGGTTTATCAATTTAATAGTAAGTTTTGATTTGAACATGAAATTTCAAAAATCAGTGCTCGAAGAAAAAAATATCAGACATGCATTTAATGAGCCATATAAAATCTGAAAATATTTTGCTTGCTGCTTTTACACATAACTGGTATCTGTAGAGGTAAAATTGCTTTCTTTTGTATTGCTCTCATAGGTAAGTCGTTTTTTAAAGAAATTTTGTTTTGAAGCTCCAGACTAAGGGGGAAAAAATGGATTTTTCTATCAGTGCTTTTACAGCTAGCAATTGTAAATTCCTGCATAGAACTTCCATAGAAAGTGTTTTAGACTTCTAGCACTGAAGTTTTGAGTAGTTGTTGTTGCTAGACATTTTGCTTTATCTGTAGATGCTAATTAGCAGCTTGAAAATATTTTTTGATGATTGTCATCATTGAGTTTATAAATGCAGTTTAAAAATGGCTCATTAAATGTCTTTAAATCCAAATTTGAAAATTTCAAAATTTGAACTCGGAGATCTGGATCGATATGTTGTCGTACAAATTCTGGAATATGATTTATGATTTCCAAAGGCCTCTTTTTGAGTCCTTTAACTTGTGTCATTTTAAAGACATAAGAAATCAAAATTTGTGAACTGAAAAATAGTAGTTCTGATATGGTTATACAAGTTCTTACTATAATTTTGAAATGCACTTTTAAATGTAAATTTTTTGATCACATTCCTATGACTGTGCAATTCCACACCAAATTTTTATGCCTTCCACAGGAGCTGATCCCCTGGCAGTGAGTGCTGCTCCAGGTACACCTTCAGCTCACCTCTCTTCCCTGCCCGCAGGCATTCCTCCCCACGCTGGACTCCTGTCTCGTGGGGAACAAGAGATGTTACAGAACGAATTCTATAGAAGAGCTTATGCAGATCCAGGTCTGGCCCATCAGGTAAATCTTCGGAAAATTTTTTAACTAATTAATAGAGTTTCGATTTTGCTTTATAATTTAAAAAAAAATATTGCTTTCTACCTCCTTTCATATGTTAATAGTGGTGTTGAACTGCAAATGCCTTTTTCATGTTGTTGGATTTTGTAAGAGTTATTCCTCTTTGGTGACTGTTCTTCACTGATATCTAGTTCATTTTGCAGCTTTCAGCACAAGCCGCACAACATGAAGCAATCCAAAGACAATTGGCCATGGAGAGGGAAAGGTTTGGTCACCTGCCCCCACACTGAGACAGGCCTACCCCAAAGGGTGAACTCTAAAGGTGCAAAGACTTGTGACACTCTTGTCAGTTTAAAACAAGAAAAAAATGGATCTGCAATGACAAAAAATAGCTTGAAGTTAGTATGGAAAGTGTTGGAACAGACAGTATTTTATATACGAGTATCTATACTCAGTACCTGATCAGTTCTGTGTTATAATGTGATACAAGGATCTCAGAACAAACCACAGACAGCCTATAGACTGCGACTGGTTTAATTGTGTTACAGAGTCCAGTTTCTTGCAATCTTGTAGTTATATTCTCTGTGAAGGCAGCTGACTATGGATTCAAAAACACACAATCAGCAAGCGTAAATCTAGTTCGAACACCCAATTAACATGATTACAACTCTTTCAGCAGGACTTTTAACCATTAAGTTGTGAATTTTCTTAAAACTGACCTAATTTTGGGACATATTTTATGAAGCATTCCGATGAAAAGTGCTAAGTTATAGAAATCCACATTGTATATATGTACATTTGTGATACATGTATATCTGCCATTCAATTAACTTACTTGTCTGACTGCAACTTTTTTTTTTATTTTTTAATTGATGATAATTAGAAAGTGAGCACATATTTGTTGCAGATTAGTCATTTTAATGGGCACTGCTTATGTAGACTAGGGCTTGATTTTAAACTAATCCAGTTTTGAACCTTGACAAACTGAGATTAGATTTATGTTGAACTACAGTGTTTTTTTAAATTGGAATTCCAAATGTTTTTTGTATCAAAAATCAGCATTTGGAATTGAAATGGAATGTTTCAGACACTTTATTCGACAAGATGTGCATGTGATTTTACATTGAATGAGTCAGTAACACAAAAGCACTTGGAAATAAGTTATGTTCCTACAAGAAGTGTTGCATTATTTTAATGGCAATAATTTATCACCTGAGGCAGCGCTGGCCTGCAGTGTGATGATTTTCCTGGACTTCTCCGGCTTTATAAAGACATAGTGCTGTGTATCCATTAATGTCAGAAGTCCAAATATTTTTATGTCATTTTTTGTAATACTTGTATCTTGTGTGTGTGTCTTAAATATATTATTACAAACTATCAAATTTAAAGGAAAAGATGAAAAAATAATAAAATTAGATATCCCTCAGAGTGAGGATATAAAATAAACATTGTGTTTCGTTATTTTCAGGCGTACTAGTAGTCATTAATGATTATGGTTTAGTTACTTGGGTGGAGAGACAATTTTATGAAAGAAACCTGTTATAGATGACTAGATGTCAGTGTAAAAATTCTGAAAATTCCTTGTATTTTATACAGTGTAAGAAAATGACCTTTCACTAAGAGAAATAACCCTTACAAGTAATTAATAACAATGTTTTCTTCATAGAATATTGGATGCATTACATTAACACTACATTTCTTGTAGTCATTACCGCTACACTCATTACCGCTACAAAGTAGTACATTACCGATTCATTCATTACCACTACAATGCCTATTCCGTTAGCCAGCGCATGTACAGATATAAAGTACATGTACATGCGTACATGTAAGATCCATTCCCTCTGCTCACCACGTGGAGTTGAAAGTAGAACTTAGAGTATGATGAGTTTTTTTCACTTTATTATTGAAAATCCTTAGTCATTTTGTTTGTAAAAGACATTTTTTTGGCATGCTTTTTCTACACATCTTCACACTTAAGAATTTTTGAAAGTCGTATTTTGACTACAGGCTGAATGAATTATATTTAATAGAACTTGTACTTAATTGCACTTCGACTACATTGTGAGTGAATTATATTGAATTATTTGACGCCATCGCAGGCATATTTGTGTAAGTAGCGGTATAATGAGTTGAAATCACCAATTGTCTTATTGATGGCAAGGCATGTAGCGGTAATAAGCACCGGAAATGAAAAGTGGGATTTTTTTGCAATATAGCGGTAATGTTGCGTATGGTTGAATTTCATGAGCTCCATCTTCTGTTCAAAATATTATTTTTAAAGAAAAATCTCATATTGTAGTCTGGGGCTCTTTCTTCCTTACACAGAGTCAGGTTGTATCGTCATAGAGCTACAAAATGTATGTATGTTTTCGACATCTAGTGACTACACAAGCCTTAAGGTTCATGCTTTGTCTTTATTATGATGGTGGTTACTATATTCTGATTAAATCAGACCTTCACTTGAATTGTCGTGTGTACAACCAGATGAGAAGTGAGTGATGGTCTGCTTTAAATTGGGTTGACCCACAATGAATATGTTCAAATACTAAATGAAGCAATATAACTATATGAAACACAACCATAAAGACAGTATATAATTTTTCTGATTTGAATTCCGCTTTCAACTGAGAGAGTTATCTCTCCTACCACTAAGAAGTTAATCTAATTTGATTAAAAAATCACGCAAACATTTGTGGTCCTCACAGGAGACGGAAAGAAAACTTTAAATTAGATGTTATAGTAGTTATATCCATTTTTAAGGGGAAAGAAAGTCTTTTAAGCTCAATAGCATGTGGAATTTGGAGTAGGAAATGAAGGAATGAATGAAGAAAAGATTAACCACTGAGCTAACCAGACCGATATCCACGATCCATGAAGCCCAAATTCCTTCATTCCTTCCTCCTTCCTTTGGACTTCGAAGACACAAGTATACGGACCCTTTCAGGAATTACTAATTTACATTAAACCTGAACAAAGATTTTTGAACTTAGAGAATTCTCTTTCTTATTATTATTCTGTATGATACTGATATGCAAACATCCCAACATAGTGCAAATTCAAATTTCAAACATGAGCCCTTACAATCTCCTATGCAGAGTTGTCGTTCGTTCCTCTCTCAGACGCCTCTGCAATGTGCTCGCGTCAAAATTTTTGACATAAAGGAGAAAACATGATATTCCAAGGATTATTTCAAATCATACTAATAGTTCTATATTTATTTAGGAAATATCCAAACATTAGCGCAGGGAATTATTTATAATGAATTAAAACAAACGCACTATTTCTTGTGCTTAACACTGTGATATATGCGAGCCAAGAGGTGAATGTATGAGCCGATGGTAGAGAGTGGAGCCCTTAGAGTAAGTGTTAGGCTAAAATAGATATTCAGAATTTTAAAGGTAAATATATAGGAAATTAAAAAAAATTGAGAGTAGCAGGATACATATTGATATGCGATTATTCCTACATCGCGAAGTTTGTTCAAGATATAGAGACGGGGGATATGTTGAGGCTTAAACGGGGGTCAACTTTTACTTAAGGTATGTCACTCGTGAAATTAGTTGTATCAAGGATTTTTTTGAGAAGTATATTTTAGATAAGTACTCATATAGCATGACTCAAAATTGCATAGAAAATGGGGGGGGGGGGGTCAGTGTGCATCTTACTGGGCTACGGTACAATTAAGTTGACCTTTTTGCACTTAAATTGTAACTCTTTGATTAATCACTTTAATCTTTATCATATTTTATCAGATGTAATCACTTTAATCTTTATCATATTTTATCAGATGTAATTATGGCAATAAATATAATCCTAATTTACGTAAAACAGTTTGAATAATACTTATCATTGAACAAATCATGCAAATTAATGCGCATAAATTATTGTTTGACCTTTTTGCACTAAAAAAGTATCACATTAGGGGTATAAAAAATCTAAATAGCCAATAAAATATTTTCTTGTATCAAACTTCTAATGACTTAGTGCTGATCGGTAGGAAGTATCGTGTTTTTAAAAATAATAGATGAAAAAGTTGGGGTCAGTGATGTAAATTTTGAGATATTGGTCAAAATGTGCGATTTTCAGGCAAAAAACGGCGTAAATTTTATCTTGACTTCTTTAATATATCTTCATTACTTGGCAAAGTCTGTTGAGTGAATGTATAAAATTTGTTCTAAAAAATAAATTGAGATCTACATGTATATCTAATATTCCCAGCATATCATAACGGAAAATATTCTCTAAGTAAAAATATGTGGGGCTAAAGTTCCAATATATTAAACTAGACTTTGACCCGTGCGTGCACGGGTTGACATTGTTATGAATGCATCCATGTGCATATCGGACATTTACCAAGGGTACCTAAGTAGGAAAGCATGAACTTGAAAGTACTTCTTGCTGCAATAATGAAGCCTTTTCAAGGGGGGGGGGGGTACAACTCTTTTTGGATCATACAATATCATTTCATTTTTTAATTGAAATCATACAATGTAATCAGAAACATTTTAAAATAAATGTTTTTGATGTAATTATTCAAAAAAAAAAATTTTGTTCAAAATATTTAGTAAAGTCTGAGTTTACCAAACTTTAAAGTTTACTGACCTTGACCGATTTTATTTTGGGACAGCCAATGAGAATTTGGGAGCGGATCTTGAACTGAATATGGGAATTTTTCTTACTTCATACGTAAATAATGCAGCAAAAATAAAATACATACCTCATAAACATTTATATATCTGTTTAGTGATAACACAAGTTAATTTTCTGCAGTATTAAACGTTTTCATTCAAAAGTCATTACATCACATGAGAACTGTCATGGCTGCTGAAGAAGACAACTTGTTTTCACGCTAGTGTATTTTTTCTTTTGGCGATTTAATTAAACCTTAGTTTGTTTGCTACGATTAAATATAATTTATTTCATCAATGAATAGATATTCCTTATGATCTTAATTTTGTCCCACCTCATAGTTTTGAGATTTACTATGCATGGATTATATTTTACAAATCATAGGCGTCGGAACCGGGGGGGGGGGGGGTAGCCCCCCTAGCCCCGCTTTTTTGGCAAAGATAGACATAGTTTAGGCATTGAAAATTGGGGCTTACATTTTTCGTTGGTTTAGCCCCTCCAACTTTCATTTAGCCACCCTACTTTCAATTTGCTTCCGACGCCTATGCAAATGATCGATATTTTAGCAGCATTGATAGAATGAACTGTACGGGCCGCATGGGCTGACTTCAGACTACCTATTAAGCGTAGTTACCACGACAACCTTTACATATTTAGAAGAACAGACTGTCCCTTCTATATAACGTCAGGGTCAGAGGTCATGTATTTACATAACAAAGGTATAAGCCTACAATAATGCTATTA